CTATGTGTTTTTTCTGCTCATGCTCCTATGTTCAAAATACTCCTTCCAATCAATCAACAGAGGAAGTTCCATTTTTTTCCTGAAATTCCCTCACAAAAAGAAACAATTTTTACTCTTAATAAGTATTTTCTCAGATTGACCTTTCAGCACGTACAAAGTTTGATGAATCAATGTTAATATTGATATGAAATTTTGGGAATTGCAAAAAATGAATAATTTTCCTATAATGTATTTTTGAAAATAAATATTTTTATACATAATTAATTTTTTCGAAGATTAACCATTCAGGAGATAGAGCTCTTGATGGACAGGCAGAAAAACAAACATTTGGCTATTATATATATATATTAATGCATTCCAAATGATATTTTCATTAATTCATAATGATGATAATATTATTAACTTTGCTTCTGTTAGTCCCTATATGCACTTATTTTATTATATTTTCTACGTTCTTCCCCAATTTCATGTCTACTCAAAATTCGTACATTCTTTCACTATGAAATAACAAAAGAAGCTTTTGAGTGCAAACAGTAGAATAGATACCCATGTTCTTGAAGGTCTTGTCCCATTAACTTTGTAACATTTTCTTAGTAATGTATGAATTTGATTGGACTTAAATATTACCAAGCTATTTGCAGTTAGTATTTCAGTGTTGAACTAGAGTTTCAGCTTTGGTTTGAATTAGTATGCAACATGGATGTTGTTTCAGTGAACAGGTTTGACAAAACAAGGTTACATGTGCCTGGTGTGAATGTAGCATTAGTTAATGTTGTTTTGTTTTTTTTCTAATATTTTATGACCTATGTCTAAGCAGTGGCTACATGTTTTGCATAAATTTCACTGGTTGGTGATTAATTGGGTTTTTTTACTTTGTTCATAGAGACTGTTTTATTATTGTAATTGTGATTCAGTTTTCTGCTTTGTTTTACACAAGTTCCACTGATTTTAAACTTTAGTTGCAGCATATGAATTTCTGTGGCAATGTTTAGTTTCATTCTTATAACTTTGTGTGTAAGACTTTAGATGCTTTTATACGTAAACATATCAATTTCTAAAAACTGGTTTGATTTCAATATTAAAAATGTTGTCAATACTTTCTACTCTTCAGGGTCTCAAACACAATATGCACGATTGTATTAAGCATCTGGTTGGATCTGTTGACAACACACAAGCAAGTAGTTATCGTTCACCAAACTCCAGCCTCACACCACCATACATTCCTTATTCTACAAATTTTTGGAACCAGTTCTCTCTTTCATCAGCATTACCTATGAAAGACTCCAGTGCTACTCTGCAAACAGCAGAAGAAGGATTTCTTCCCATCAGAGGAAAAAGGTTTGTTTTTAATTACCTGGTTTCTGTAATTTTAATAAATTTTTGTGTTCCAACTTATATATGTTTGAAATTTAAAAGAAATTTTTTAGTTATAAGATTTTTGTTAGACACTTTTAAGTTTTCATTCAATAATGATTCACTGAATATTCTTCAAAGAACACCTTGCATGGTTTATAAGTATGCAGTATTTGAGAACAGTTGTCTTGAATTCTAAGTTTGGGACTTGAACTCAACATATGGATGTTTAAGTAACGTCTGTGTTTTTGATTTTCTGTTTTATCTCTCTGAAGGAACATTGTAATAATACACTGTTTATGGCAGATTAATCACTGAGGAATTATATATGCAGCTTTACAGCGTAGGTTAATTTTAATGTAATGTTTGTTAATCACTGAGGCATTACAATTTACTGTAGTTATAATGTAATGTTTGTTGAAGCTAGTTTTTTGTTCCTTTGTATTATAGCAATGTAGGGGCACTGAAGTGTTTTTCTTTGATACAGTGTTGTCATATGATTACTGTGATAATAAGTTGAAATACAATATATAGTGTAAAACCTCCCAGCTTGTTCACTAAACAAAAATATATAACGTTTCTTGCCCAAAAATATTTTGTACTTGCCCTGAATACAAAACTTTTCTTTTTCTTTGAACAGAAAAACTGTCCATTTTAGAAGGGCCTTATTAACATAAAGAAAAAAACCTTTCCAAAAAAGGAAGTAAATTTAAGGATGGCTAATATTAATCCTTCAAAAACAATGCAAACAAAATAATATTTGCATCATTCCTACGTAATACATTTCCATAAACTTCTTTATGGCTACAGAGACGTTGTTTCCCTTCTTGTATTCAAACAGCTTTACATGCCGAATGGGTGTCTCGACGTGTGCCATCACTATAAGAGATTAGGGTATACTAAACTTTACACATTATATAAGCTACACTAATGTGACTTTTAGGCAGTTAATTTAACTATTATATGTGATGTACATTTTTGGGGGGGTAATGAAAGCATTCACAAATGCGACATTTGTTTGATGATGGCCTAATATATTGCTATATCTTAATTCTTGCCTGTGCTATTATGTATGGATGATGCAAATTCTATACCTATTATTTTGTTTGCATTGTTTTTGAAGGATTGATATTAGCCATCCCTACATTTACCTCCTTTTTTTTAAAAGTTTTCCTTTACTTGTTTAGTTGTTCTTTTTAATGCAGTGTTTCAATATACAAAGAAAAGTTGTATTTATAACCAAGTTCTAAATGCAGTGAGGTATCACATGTAATATTTTTTGTTTATCTGATAACTGCTGGTAATTCCTGTTTCACCCTGTACTTAAGTTTTTTTAAAGGAACATCAAATTTTTCTAAGAAAGCTAACTTCAAGGGGGTAATAATAACATCGTTTACACTAGAATTGTGATTTTTTTAATTGCGACTAGTTATTAATAATACTTAAAGAAAAGGTGTATACTCTGTTTGAAACTATTTCACCTCAATAGTGGTGCAAAAGTGATGAGTTATATAGACTGGTGTGCTGAGTGTGAAATTTTATAGCAATGCTTAGAAGGCAGAAAGAATTTTGAGATAACTTTCTGTGAGGTGGAGGTAAGTAACTATCAGAAATATATTTCCAGTATAAAAAAATTTTAATGTTCTGATGACCTATTGAGAAGATACTTAAAATTCCACTTTAAGAACAATCCAAGCCATCTATACATAGGTAGTGCTATTGCCTGCCTGATAAATCAAGTGACTGTGTATATTAGTGAGAAATTGATGAAATAGTAAACTTTAATCCATGAGTTTATATCTTATTATCTAACCTTATAACTGAAATAAATCTACACAGTTTGCTTTGTCATTTTTTAAACAAAATGAGAACTTCAAACTTGGATACGAGAGGAAGTTAGTAGTGTATTTTTGAAATCTTAAGACTTTAGGAATTAAGCATTATATTTATGTCAATTGTAACCATCATTACAAATGTTGACCATATCATACCTAAATTTAGTGCATACACAAGGTTTTACAGAATTACAATTGATGAATGAAATGTTCCTGGTAGAAATATGTTACCTCATTGTTGATCTACATATCAGTGAATTTATGATTTGGTATTATTTTTAGCAGTTGCTTCCTTACTATTTACTTTTTAATTCACTATTCTTCTTCAGAAGAAGAATAGTGAACTATTCAAAAGTCCTTGAGTTTTGGGTCTTTTTTGAAAACCAGTACAACTTTTTTATGTGATCCTGTGTGCTAACTTCTTAATCTGAATTTATTTACTTTTTATGTTGTGAAATAATTTAAAAAAACCCTAAAATTTGATTATCTGAAGAAGTTTTTTTTCTAAATAATGGTAGTGAGTATTATTAGGTTTATGCCTATATACCAATTCCATTGCATCAATTTTGGGCATTATAAAACACAAGGCTTGAGGTTTCATATTAAAACAACTAAAATAGATAGCATTTGTACTGGTGTGTTTTGTATTGTAACCCAGCCAGCCTGATAAGCTATTGTTTTGGTTTAAAGCCTCTTTATTGAAATGCTACTGTATTTTCTTCTTTTGTGGAATTTGTGTCAGAACAATAAAAACTGGTGTGAATAACAATGCTATCAGTTAATATGTCCATGACATACATTCCCTAGCATAAACACATTTTTTGTTCTAATCAGTATTTTAACTTTTTCAACCTTCTTTTACAGTATTGTATCTGTAGGATAAGTACAGATGATGTAAAGACAAGTATTATGTAAAAGAAAAAAAGGATTAAGATACTAATATTTAAGAAAATCAAGAATGCAAATGATTTTCAGTCTTTTACCACAATACCATGACTGTGTGCTTTTAACCCTTTCACTACTGTCTCAGTGGATTACACCAACCTTATGACCCCAAAGTTACCATCAGACTTTCCATACTATAACTTTTAACATTTTTTTTGTGTGTATATTCATGAAATTTTTCACGTTTTAGTAAACATTACAAATATTTGGTAGTGTAGATAAAAAACCAGTATTTTTAAGTAAGCATTATTACTAAACGTTTGTCAGTGAAAATATGGAGTCAGAGTGTTGACTGCTCTAAGTGCAAAGTGGTTTTCAATTTAATATTAAAAAATAGTTTTCTTCAACTGAAATGATCAAATTTTATTTTTGTAATCTCTAAGATCTTGTAAATAAGTATCAAATGTTATTTATCACTAAATCTTTATATCTACCCTAACTCCACATACATTTGGTCAATTTGACAAAATTTGTAACTACCATAAAAAATGTGAAATAAAATGAGTATTACTGTTCTATCCTTTTTACTGATCATGAGAGTTTCTACTTCTAGCTTTTTCCTTCAACATTTCCAGTAAAAATCCAACTTTCCCCTTCAAGTCAATTACAAATGACTGTCAGATTTAAGTTGTTTGGAATGTGCTCTTTCTGTTTGTTATAAATATGCACTTAAGAGAAGAAAGCATCAGTAACCAAGAGGCTTCAGAAGTATGGAAAAGTGGGAGGGGATACTATGGTAGATTTACTAAATATATTGATATAAAGATGGGAGATTCTTGTTTTATATTTTAGCTTGTAACTTTCTGAAATTTGAGTTTCTAATGCGTTAACTGCTATATATGTTGTATGGTAGATGTAATACTATGTAAACTAAAGATTGCAATGTGACATACAATAAAGGATATTTAGTATTAGTTTTAATATCTTCTTTAAAAGTAAGAAATTAAAACATATATACTATTAAAATTTTATTTATATACTATGTTTTGATGCCAATTTTAGTGACATACATTAATAATAATATTGTTTAATTAAATTTTGAAAGTATCTCTTAAAAAGTTGTGACATGCACCCTTTGACCTGTTTGTAGCAAGAGAGTTAAGCTGCTACTGTTATGACATTTTGCTTGTTTGTCAAAGTTCACTTAGGCAGTTGTACTTTGGTATAAAAAAATGCTTTTTTTTTACCATTTATAAGCTTAATTTTTAAAAGAATTTATTACTGATCAATTATAAAATCCTGTATTAAAAGAATAGATAATATTACTTGTAACTTAAACATAGATTTCTTAATCTGTGTATTTTGAGTACATAAAGTACCAAAGTAATATAGAAATATTATAGTTTTCTTTTATGAAATTCTGTTAAAGCATTGATACCTGTGTAATCTAAGCAATGTTTTCAGGTTATGATAGCAAAATAGGCTGCATTTTGATTGTTTATTCCTCTATTACTTGCTAATACTTGATAGGCCTAAAGAAGAAAATGGATTTTCCACTGAAGGATCAGTTAATGAAGATTCTGTTTCTCATACAGAAGATAGAAAAAACAGTAGAACCAGAGGTAAATTTAAAAATTTTTCTAACTGCTGTGTATCAAAATTAAACATATCAACTCTCTCAACATGGGCATGGTCAATTTGACCAATCACATGACCTCTTTGTACTCATTTAAAATCTTTTTAGATTTAATACTTCTAACTTTCAATGTAGTGTATATCTCTTCACAAAATTTGTCAGTCGTTCAGTTAACGTTATCATATTTTTTAGTGAAGTATTTTTAATAAACTAAAATAAAAACTTGTCCATGAATATATTGAGTATTTGTTTTGAATAGTCTGTGTGCAAAGTGATTTTCATGTTAAGATTAAAAATACTCAAATTTCCTTTGTGTAATCCCTAAAAACTCCTAAGTACATTTTCAACGTTTTTTTTTAATTAACTTTATATTTTAGCTGTTATTTTCTCTATTCCATCTCTATGCAAGATCGGTCAATTTGACTGACTTCATAACCACCAAAAAAAATCTAATTAAATTTAAATTACCCAGTTTTTCGTTGTGGAATGACTTCAAATTGTAAGATGAAACTACATTCATTTATCCAAAGTAGTTTTAAGCTGGTAACAGTATACATCTATTTGTAATTAAATTTTATTGTTTCAATGCCCTTTGAACCATTTATAACTACTATCTGTGCCATTATAAGTTGTAAATCACTCGAGGAATGTGCAGTTTACGTTACACCATCAAATTACATTACCCACATGCGTGCCTCATGAACCATTTTAATTATATAATTATTATTCATTTTACCTAATGTAGTGTTAAATAACTTAAAAAGATTCATATTTTTAGATTTTAGTTACTTTTATGATAATAAATACAGAATAAACATGAAAAAAAGAAATAAAGTACTTACCCAATCTTCTTTTTTTTTGCTTTTGGTTGTCGATGACACTTATCCCTACTTTTTTATACTAATGGTAGTAATGCACTAAATAATTTTTATTTAATTAAGTAATGCACCAAAGAACATAGAATAATAACATGCAAAAAGTAGACAATTTCCCCTAACTCTCAAACATTTTCTGGCTTTCTAACTATGTGACAAAAGCCGTTACAAATACATCCAAACTAATTGTTAACCTTCTCATGGGAAAGAAGCTTGTACTCTGAGTGAAATTGACGATTATCTGTTCAGAACACAACATTATACAATACATCATTTGGTAGATGAAAATGTTGGCTTTCTGTTGGTTATAAATAATATATATAATTAACTGCAAGAGAGAACTGTTAACAAATCCTGAAAGATAGGATATGACAGGTGGGTGTGGCAGGAGGGATCTGATTTTCTGTTTGATAGCTCTGTAACCAAGCAAAATTGAAGGCTATACACAATTATGGTTTGTCTGAGCAATGATGATTTTATAGTTGAGTAATTTACATTTAATTATGATGTTACTGGAGAGGTGGTGGATGAAATAGATAAGAGAAGATACCTGGAGAAAATGTGTCAAGTGTGTCACATTAGGGGAAATTCAGGTTTTTTTTTTTAATATTGCCTTATAGAATTAAGAACTTAAAATTTATATACTATTAAAATATGGAATATTAGCTAAGATTTTATGCTATACTAATTGGTATAACATAAAACAAACTATTTGAAAGCACTTGAGTTTTGGGTCTTATTTTAAGTATATTATGCTTTATATGTGATCCTTTGTGCTAACTCTTTTGTCAAAATAAACAAACAGACAGTAGTTTAATAAAATTTTGAATGTAACACACTAAAACCTTTGTGTCATGTGCAGTAAAGGATACCTATGACAATAGGGTTAAATTAATTTCCGGGAAGATTATGTAATAGAGGTAAAGCCTAAAGAAAAACAACTTAATGAATTGTATGATATTAGCTGTTGTTTAGCTTTCTATATATATTTTATAGTAACCATGTTAAAAATTGTAATAATGGGGAAGTGTTTTTATATGTTTGTTTGCTTTATTGCAAAGCTACACAATAGGTTATCTGTGCTCTGTCCATCAGAGGGAATTGATCTCTGAATTTTAGTGTTGTAAATCCATGAAGTGGTGACCCACTGAGGAACAATGTTACTTTTTTAGTGCAAAGTTATAAAATTGGCTATCTGCACTCTGATCACTGTGCGGAAACTAACCCCAGATTTTAGCAATGTAAGTCTGGAAATTTACTGCTGATCCATCTTGTGATAGTGAAAGGATTTGTTTATTAATCTCTCCTGAGGATGACGTTGTAACATCACAACATGTAGAGTCGTCAACGTTTTGAAGGCCATAGATAGGCCTAAATAAAATGTTTTTAATTGTGTACCAGTTTAATGTTGAATATTATTTATGATTTTAATCCCTAGCTGTTGGTTATTCTGTATAAATAATATGGCAAGAAGGAAACTGAAACTTAAAAACTAAAAGGTTTCATTTAAAGTTTTAAATTTAAACTCTGAATTTTTTTTATCTAAGCCTAGTTTTTATCAAGATAATATTTGTTATTGTTTAATATACATATATAACAATCTTGAGCTGAAATATCTGACAAGTTTTAAAATTCAATGAGGTGATGTAAATCAGTAATGTTTTATTTTAAAACATTTTAACAAACACTTTTGTTACACGAAATGCTAAAGAATTTTGTTGTTTAACCTTTCAGAACCTCCTATTTGGCATGTACAAGTAGCTGTGGCTGAATTAGAAAAAAGAAAACAAGAACAGCTTGAAGCAGGAAATGTTATTGGTCATGTTAGAGACATTCATGTTCACAAAGCCCCTGTTCGGATAGGTGCTAGGAGGGTTACATTTCCTTGGCAACGTGGTTTCAAAATAGGTTGGCTTCATTTATATTTTATAATATTTTGTACAAAATGTTTGTATTTAAACAAGCATTATAATTATGTCTTTAGAAAGTGAAAGCTTATTTTGAAAATTAGTAATTAGTAGATGTGATTAACAGTAAAACCTTTATGACAAGAAGCATTATTTGATATGGAAAGATTTACTTTTCTATACCTCAGGGTAACTAATTTTCTGGAATGTTTTTCACCTGAAAAAATATGAAAACCTTGAATGTTTTGACCATATACAGTTTTATATATATACATGTATCTTATGTGTACTTAGTTATTTTGCAAGCTCCTTAATTTTAAGACATCTTAATCATAGCACTTGCTTAAATATTTTAAATGGAAAACATATTGTTGAAGATAAACCAGTCTGATAAGTTTACTGTGATGAAAAATGCAAATTTATAGGTTTGGTAACTTTGTTTTTCCTTTATAGTTACCAAAATAAAACGTATTTCCTTCTCACTTTGGTCTAGGACACATTTTAATGGTTTAATTAGTCAAGTTAATTTTATATTTAAAATGCTAACATGAATTCTTAATTGCTACTATGGTTGATGATTATAACTTTTTTTTTTATCTCATGTGAAGGAGAGTTTAGCAAATATTAGGAGTATAAAATCATTCTTAGTGAGGGATATATTTGATTTATTAATAATATTGAATGTAAAATTCATGTTCAAAGTGAAACCTAATTTTATCAAAGTGTTTTTAGTGTGGTAGGTTTAAAACTTAAACCCTTTTTCAGGTAAGAGGAGATATTTCAATAGGGTAAATTATGATATTTTTTCTGTTTGCCAAATATGAATAATGGTTGTGATAATAGGTCAAGAGCCAACTGCTTTTAGAAAATGATTTTCCACATTGGTAGTCATTTAATGGCACAGTAGAAAAATATGTATTAACATTCTTGACCTATCACCCCATGACTTTCCTCTCTTAGGGATGGTTTTTATGGACAATGTTCCCATATAATTAATAATTTTGAAAGGTTTCTTATCACCACACTGCTTCAGCAACCTTGTATGATGGAGGAGGTGCATGCGGTGTATTTGATAGGGATTTTGAAATTGACATTTGGTTGTCCATTTTTTCAACACCAGTAGTGTTTTCTTGTTGGTGTAGTCAATAATAATGTAAATTAACTTTCTCTCTTTTTCTGAACACTTCTCATGCATATGCAGTTATTTTTTAACTTCATTCAGTTCCATGTGAGGGTAGATCAAGTAAGCTTGATTTATGTTTATAGTTGACATTTGAATTATTTAATTTTCAGCACCAAAGAGATGTGACAAGTTTTTATTGGTCTGAAAAGTTGTAATTTGAACAGTTTCATTTTAGTTGTATGTTAATAAGGTCATATTTGAAAGGTTGGATAAATTCTGAATATTATTTTAGAGCATTCTGTTTTAGAGCATTTCATTAAAAATCAAGTGTGCTTTTAATTATAAAGTGAAACTTTGATACTGCACTTACACATTTCATTTTACTGTGGACAATGACATTTTTTAAAGTTTTGTAAACAAAACAATTTGATATTTGGTTTCATTCATTTCACCTGATGGTTTATCAGGGGCAATACTAAATTTCTTTGATTCTGTTAACAATTTAAAGGCTTCCTTGTTCTTTCCCTTTAATCCTCAGGTAAAAGTATACATGGCAAAATCATCTTGTCACAATATTGAATATTAATGTGGTTATTCAGTATGAAGGAAATTATTTCGTATCACAACTTTTATAAGATATCATGTTTTATACAGTATAAGTACTTGTTGATATTTGTTTATAATGGTGTTGCATTTTTGGGTAAAAGTGAACATACATTATTAGGTTAGAATTTTTTTCTAGCAAGAATAACACTGCCTAAAAATAGCTGATATAATATTTTAAGGTAAATTTTATAAATAAAATGTTAAGTTGTGTAAGAGAATGAGACAAAACAAAATTTTAATGAAGTTTTACTGAATAGAGAAAATATTTGTCCTAACAGAACTAGTGAGTAACTACTCTATAATCTTATGTTGTTTAAACTTAGTGAGTTAAGCTGCTATTCTAATATACAGGAAAGTCAGAAGTAAACTCTTAGGCAATTGTGTAAACAAGTTATATTAGTTAAGATGTCTCATTATATGTATAACAAGCTGAGGTACCTGTCCCCTGTCTTATGTCCGGGTTATGAATTTTAAGAAACTTGTGGATGGATGATATTGTAAATAACAAAAAAATCCTAATTTTCACACAATTTATTTATAACCTAACTCTTTATTACAGTATTCATTATTACCTCACCAAAAGTTCTGTATAAGGTTTAATAACTCAATATGTTTATACTTAAAACATGGTATACACTGTGCAATGGCCAGAGTGACATTGTAGGAAGAGGTAGCAGCCAAAGTAGTGGAGTTAGAGGTGCTTTCTTTTACCCGCTTTCAACACCCAGCTCTTAATATTCTTCCACAGTGTTTTATTGATTAATTAATTGACAGTCATTGGCTACAAAAGTGTCTTACAAGCCAAAGTTGAAAGGTCACAGCTCAAAGTAAGAAGTTGGTCTAACTCAAAATATGCCTCTTCATATCAGCCATATAGTGGCTGTTGGAGTAGAAAATTCAGCTGAGTTTATATATTATTGCAATAGTGGCAGTCATTTTTTTAATTGCATTCCTTCATAGAGAGTGCTAGTGTGCACTTTGAGATATATAAGACATTTGTTTGCCCTTCCTCCACACTGTGTGTATGTTGTGTTATAGAAAATTTAATAAAGTTTTTTTTTTCTCAGTGTAAGGATGTGGCACCACCTATGAACATAGTTATTTTTAACTTATATCAAAGATAATAAGTGCCCAATAACAGCAATAATATGGATAGAGGGGTTGTGAACCCCTTTATTAACATGCCTTTTGTTCCAATCTGTTATCCCAGAAAGTTTGGTTGAGATTGGCCCAGCATCCTAGGTGTAGTTAGATAACAGACAAACAGCAAGACACAGATGTTTGTGCTTTATATATATATACTTTGGTTTTTAGACAAAAAGTTTGCTTTAATTCCTATAGGCGTTTTTAAACAAGTTTTTTTTTTACAGAAATATTGAAGTGCAAACATGTGGATTTTTACTTAGGAATTATTTCTATAATATGTAATAAAATCTTAATTCATGATTTGTTAATAAATCTGAAGTCCTCTGTCAATCCCTGAATAATGTAATTTGATTAAAGATTTTGAAAAATTTATTAACATAGGAGGGCCATTATGTGAGCTGTTTTCAGGGCAAGTTTTAAGATTGTAGCTTATAAGCAAGTTTAACTTTTGAACCTTTTCATTCAAGTTTTAGATGTATATTTAATTTGATTGAATATGTACTGTACTTGTTAAGTTGATACAAGTGTTCTTTTTTCTCCATATTGAAAGCAGACTAAAGAGTGTGTGTATGTGTATGTAGTAAAAAAGTGTTGATAGATGGTACTGATGAAACGTATGAGAATAACATGTTTCAAAAGAACAAGATAAAACATTTATTTCTTTACATAATATAAGCACTGTTTTAATAAAGTTGATTTTCCATTGAAGAACTGAGTTGATATGAAAAACTGATATATTAATAAACCCTCATTTGAATTGAGGGAAAGTTTGTTAAAACTGAGTCAACAAGATATAACATTTTTGTAATGCAGTTTAGAACATATTTTACTATGTATAACAGTATAAGAAAGGTAGTTGAAATATAAGCATTTCAAATGCAGGTGAGAATGAATATGGCAAAATTCATTTATCAAACATAGTTAATACCATATACAAAAACCTTTGAATTTCTATTTAATGTAAATAGGTACATTTCATTGAATTTCCATGCACGTTTGATGAGTTGAACGTTTTTCCAGGGGAAGGAAGATTTGGCAAGGTGTACACAGCTGTCAATAACCTAACTGGAGAATTGATAGCCATGAAAGAGGTTTGCTTAAATTCAGATTTTTGTAGTAAAATTATGAGATAAACCTTCAACCTTTTTAATTTACTGTTGAAATTACCCTTTTAGTATATTTTACTAAAAGAAGAGTAAATTATAGGTGCTTTTAACATTTGAAATGTGTTGAATCACATAATTACAAGAGTATATTGAGATTCATCCCTTTACTTGTTTACATAAATATAAATGTAGAATACCATTTTTTTTAAGTTACTTTGTGATTAAAAAGTGCTTCTTTTATTGTTATTCAAATACTTGCTATTAAATCCACTATTGAATAAAAATATTAGAAATATTTATTCAGAAATGGCACACGACTCTTTTTTTTCTAACAAAGAGTTATTTATTACCTTGCTTGCATTGCCTTGTAAGTTCTTGTCTCAAGTTCCCACTCCTACATGTGTCACCGTTTATTGCACCAGCCTATTATGTAATAATCATCAAACTATAGCTCTTTACTAATAGGAATGCCCCTCGACGTGGATGCTTGTACGTGGTGAGGGGACCTCCCAGGGAAGGTTCTGTATTTTCAGTTACTTTCTCTGGGATCTAAACATCCACCGACGTGTTT